CTGCTGGGGTCGGTTGACCAAAAAGTTCTTTATCCAGGAGCAGGTGGGTGGTGGGACCCCCAGGTCGGTTAGCTTAGGGATCAGAATGTCCGGTATTATTGTGTTAAAAGCTGAGCTAAAGTCAATGAAAAGCATCCTGACGTAGCTCTCCCGTTGCTCCAGGTGACTCAGCGCTGAGTGGAGAGCGATGGCTATGGCGTCTTCGGTGGATCTGTTAGTCCGGTATGCAAACTGGTGCTGATCCAGGGTGGGGGGGAGACAGGCTTTTATGTGTCTCAAAACCAGTTTCTCTAGGCATTTGGTGATGACTGGAGTGAGTGCAATGGGGCGGAAGTCATTGAGGCTGGTCGTGGGTGACTTTTTAGGGATCGGGATGATTATAGCAGACTTCAAGCAGGGTGGGATGACAGCTTGTTGCAGAGATATGTTGAATATGTCTGTGAAGACCTGTGATAACTGCCAAGCACATGCCTTGAGCACCTTCCCAGGTACTCCATCTGGACCTGCAGCCTTTCTGGGGTTCACTGCACAGAGCACCCGCCACACGTCCTGTGCCTTAAGAGTAAGTGGGGGGGAGGAGGTGTGCTGGGGGGCTGGTTGAAGTTGTGGTGGTTGTTGGAGTGATGAGGTTGGATGCTGTGTGTGAGACTCAAAGCGGGCAAAGAAGCTGTTCAGCTCCTCTGCCAGTCCCGCATCCAAGTTCCCGGGTGTCACAGCACAGCCTTTGTAGTTGGTGATGGTCTGTATGCCCCGCCACACTTGCCTTGGATTGTTTAGATGTTCCTCTATCCTCCTCTTATATTCACCTTTGGCAGTCCTAATGCCTCTCTTCAGGTTGGCACGAGCGGCGCTGTACAATGCTCTGTCGCCTGACCTGAAGGCTGAGTCACGGGCCCGGAGGAGCATACGGACCTGGCGCGTCATCCAGGGTTTCTGGTTTGGGAACACCCAGATCCTCTTTTCAACAGTGACATTCCCAATACAGTACTTGATGTAGGACAGTACTGCATCTGTGAATATTTCCAGGTCTTCGTGATAGAAGGCTTCCCACTGTGTATTTTCGAAGCAGTCCTGTAGTCGGGGGAGGGCGTCCTCAGGCCAGGTGGTGATGGTCTTCTTTGTGGGCTTTGTTTGTCGACTGAGAGGGGTGTATGCTGGAGTTAGGAGCAGGGAGAGGTGGTCTGACTGGCCCAGGTGGGGAAGGGGTACAGCTCTGTACGCATGCTTGATGTTGGAATACACATGATCCAGAGTGTTTTCCCCTCTTGTAGGGCATTTTACATATTGGTGGAATTTTGGTAATACAGTCTTTAGATTTGCCTTATTGAAGTCCCCTGCAATGATGTGGACTCCACTAGGGTGGGCGCGCTGGTGGGTATTGATGGCATTTAGCAGTAGAGAGAGAGCCATGTTTACATTAGCGTCTGGTGGTATGTAGACTGCAGTGATGACAACAGCAGCTAGCTCTCTAGGCAGAAAGAAGGGTCTGCATCTCACCGACATAAATTCCAGATCAGGAGAACAGTGTCTGTCCAAGACAGTGCTGTTGTTACACCAGCCATCATGCACATAGATGCAGAGCCCGCCTCCTCTGTTCTTCCCGGAGTCACTGTTCCTGTCCCATCTGTGTAGTGTGTGGTCTACTAGTTGCACCGTGGCATCGGGGACTTGTGTGTGTAGCCATGTCTCTGTGATGATAAGCACACAGCAATCGCGAACATAACGGTTACCAGCCAACTGTAATTCCAAATCGTCCGTTTTGTGTACAATGGATCTGGCGTTTGTAAGGTAGAGGCTCGGCAACGGAGGTTTGAGTGGCTGTTTTCTTAGTTTTAGCAGTAAACCAGCCATGGTTCTGGGCCTGGTTTTGGGCCCTGATCCTGGTCCTGGTTCTGACCTGGTCCTTTTCCTCATTCTGGTTCTGAGCCTGGTTTTGGTCCTGGCCTGGTCGTCCTCCGGGTTTTGGACCTGGTCTAGGTGCTGGTTCTCGGCCTGGTTCTAGTCCTTGTTCTGGGCCCTCTTCCTTGGCCTGGTTCTGGCCAGGGCCTGGTTCTCTTGCTGGTTCTGGTCCCCTTACTGGTCCTGGTTCTGGCCTGGTTCTCTTCCTGGTTCTGGCCTTGCTCTGGTTCTCTTCCTGGTTCTGGTCCCCTTCCTTATCCTGGTTCTGGGTCTGGTTGTGGTTCTCTCCCTGGTTCTTGCCTGATCCTCGTTCTGGTCCTGGTGTTGTTGGTGCTGACCTCTGACACTGACTCTTAGGGAACCACTGAGCTCACCCCTTGTTTTACTGGTTTGAATGAAACCATTAACACGAGAGATAATAAATCATTGGGTGACTGAGCATAATGGACAGCTTTCTGAGTGGGCTCCTGTAAATCACTTTTTATTTCAAAACCAGTTCCACTGAGACTTTAACTCAGATTTCTGGATTCAGTGCGATGACCTTTACACCTTGGAACCCTTTAGCTTTTATTGAGTAACAACGCTCTACCAGGAGAGCATTTATCACCATCCTGCCTCTATGCTATACTGTAGAATACGTTGATATTGAAATGTAACATTTCAGGTCATTTCCACTCAAGTGGGAGAGCGTTAGACTGAAAATCGAAAGATCCTGTCCTTTTGCAGACAGTAGATGGTAACATTGTACTTTGTTAGCACTCCTTGTCAAACTACTGTCTTCAACACTCCCAGAACAACAGTTTCTTGTTATATAGATCTAATATGGAAGGAGAAGCATTAATTCAGGTTAGAGAAACAGGCCAGTTAGCTCAGCTGGTCAGAGCGTGGTGCTAATACTGCCAAAGTCATGGGTTCAAGCCCCATACTGGCTACAGAGTTATGGTTGTGTAGAACTTGTATGAAAACATGTGGAGCCCTGAACATCTTCCACCTATACTTATTCATAAAGTAATCTCATGTGTGTCCTGCACCACGACACAGATGTCTTGTTAAACAAAGTGCTAAGTGTCTTCTTTACTTTGAGTAAAAGTCAGACTTTGTTCCAACTCACTGAGTTGAAAATGTCTCCTGTGGCCAGATGCTTTAATCTTAACTTCCTCCTCAGGTGGACATGTTTTACCTTAAAATGGATGACCATTGTCAGAGTTAACCTGCTTTGGTTCATTCTCTCCATCTTTCAGGGGAAACACTGGTGTTAGGCTGGCTGAAGAGAAAATAGCAGCTCAAAGTACAGTGTTTTTAAAATATGTGCATTTCCTGCAGTACTTTCTGACTGACTGAAGTGATGAATTGTTCCTAGTTCCTAGTATGTGTATGGGTACACATACCATTACTCTTTAGTTAGAGTTTCACCAGCCAGATAGTAAATCTGTCCTCTGTATTGGCTGTGTCCTGTTTAAGTACTTTTTGTGCAAAACCTTGTGGTTAGTAATTAAATAAATATAACAAAGATTCCCTTCACATTCTGACCTCCTGAGCCCAAACCAAAAGAGCCATTATAATAAGCGTGATACCAATAGACTGAGGAAGGTGTCTGTGTTTGTCATTTTTAAATCCAGCCAGAAATGTGCCAACGGGAGAGATTTCTAAACATGAAACTTTTTTGGTCTGTTTTATTTCTCAGTGAGATTTTAACAATGGTTTTCAATGTAAACCTTGAAGGATACCTCTGAAGCTGAAGGTTACTGATCATAGTATAAAAGCTGAAGCTTTTTGATAGTTACATTATCTGAAAGAGGAGAAATGTCCCTATGTTTTAAAGTATAATTTGTATATGAAAGTTAATTTCAATTCAGTTTTATTTATATAGCGCCACATCACAACAACAGTTATCTCACAGCGCTCTGATTGAATGCCTTCAAAGGCATTCTCACAATAAACATTTTCCATTTGATCTTGTACTTTTATAAGCAAAAGAAAAGAACAGACTCCAAAGACCAAAACTATTCCATGATTGTTCATTCACTGTGTGCATTCAAACATTGTTTGTGGAGTGGTGATTTCCCTGCCTCCATTTCCAGTATCTCCATTATGATTTTAATCCCCCTCTTTCTAACAAGCAAACAGTCTTTACACACTGGCTCTGGCAGCTTGGTGTAGGACATTTAATGTGTTCCACAGCAGGCATTCAGGTCATGCTGAAGCCTGCTCTATATGTCTTTGTACAGTTTCACTTAACATTAGCATAGTATAATATTGAGTCTTTGTGTTTAGAGATGGGTCTCGTGAAATATCAACTGAGCTTCAATTCTTTTTGTGTAGCTGCTTTTACTATGTGAGCTTATCCTTCAACAAGTATTGGCCAAGCAGGACATATCCATACATGTGATTGAAACTGTATTCAGAAAAGTCTTTGTTGGCCCCTATACCTGTCCTACTCTACTCAGTCAGAACATCAACCATAGACACATTACATGCATTAAAAACCTCCATCATGGACACAAAAGACTCTGTCTGGACTCTCCTGAAGACTGAAAACCTTCTATAACTTAGAGCTGCAGAAGCAAAAAGTGATACAACCAATCCAATATCAACAAAGTGTAAGATAATCCACTTCACACCATCTCCCTGATGGTCTAATGGCTAGGATTTGGTGCTCTCACCACCACGGTCCGGGTTCAATTCCCAGTCAGGGAAGAAAACACAGCTTGCTGCTTTAAAAATGTAACTAAATGTTTGTTAAACAGATAAAAACCTGCAGCGTTGGCTATGAATCAAACTGTGGTTGACTGCTTGGAACACAGCTCTGCTCTCCACCAATACTGTCTCTGGTCAACTGAATATAAGAACTCAGTGTAATTATGTCACATGAACCTTTACTTGAATTTATTTTGTAACTATCTGCAATAGTTCAAAATGGATCCACATGTGTGATAATCACAGAATATGGTGTGCAGGAAACCTGCAGGACAGCATACCTCAAGACGGGAGTTTGACATCCCTGCCATAAGACGTAAATAGACAGAACGTCCTCAAACTCGCCTGTCAGGAGTGGGATTTGAACCCACGCCTCCATTGGAGACTGCAACCTTAATGCCAGCTGCCGCAGAATCGTCTGGGGAAATTTTGAACAATGTTGGAGAATGTTGGAATGGTGGGCCAATCGTGGGCCTCCCTTTCCAAAGCTGGGGACTTTCCAATATTCTCCAACATTCTCCACCAATCATTCTCGATTCCTCAACATTCTGCACCAATCAATCTCCCTCCCCTTCCAAAATGTCGAACTTTTGACCAATCAGCTGCGATCTTAACCGTGCCTACAAATTTTCTGCAGTTTCATACGTTTTATTGTTGGATTCCTTAAAATTGTGAGTATTCAGACATTAACGGCAGTGTTATATGACGTCCGCTAATGTGTAAAAACAGCCTTTCTTCGTGTGTCATGTTGTCATTGCGATATTATTCAGCTAGCTTCTGTGGCTCTTTTATTTGACTCGGAATTCGGCTAATTAAGTAGATTTGGACGTTAACATATTGCAACAGTGCCCTCTCGCATAGGCATATATATTGTGTGTATGAAATCTGTCAAATTAAGATGTTTTCCCGATTCATTCATTCATTCATTCATTCAGTGATGGAATTTTCAGTCGATGCCCTCAGCCGGCTTACGCGAGCAATGTTTTTTGTTTTTCAGTCGACATGTTTACGATTTCATTGCATAGATTTCGCTACGTTATTTAACGTGTATTTTGCTGTAATGCCATTTTCTCTATTATATCGATTTATTTAGTTATTGGAAAAGGCTTCATTTCATATGCCAACCTACACTTAAAATCAACAGAGACTGTAAACAGTACAATAATTGACTTATTGTTGTATAGTATAACACAATAGTATTAGTGTATGAGCCTATAAGTGTAATGTAAATCAATTCTTCTAACATTGCTCTCAAGATGAGTTAATTGTGTAAATGATGTTGTAAGTGAATGTTAAACTCCCATTTAAGTTCTTTGTAAGCCTGTAAATGTTATACATTTTTACATAATTGAAGTTCTTAATTAAAGTTTATTTCTGTTTATGCATTTGGCAGACGCTTTTATCCAAAGTGACTTACAGAGTAGACACAATATTACATTTCTCATCACTATGACAATAAGCTATATAAAGACTGTCTTTGGAGAATGTGGGCATTGATCCCACTACCTCTCACATGCTAAGGGAGCGCTCTACCATTTGAGCTAATTCCCCTTGATATCTATGTTGTGTGTTCAGTTTGCATCAATAATCTCTTTTTATTAAATATTTAAAACTTTTCTCTTGCTCACTTTTTATTTTTTGCCACCACTAAACATACCTTGTGTACAATTGGCTGCCTATATTAAGCTATTACATTGATAATATTAAGTTAGTGTTTATTAACAATCAGACTCAGTTCCGCATTTCGTTCACCTTGAACGCACCACCTACTAGAGTCGCCGGTTCGAATCCCGGTCTAGTCTTAAAAATGACTGTAAATTTAAAAACTATTCTTTCTTGAGCTAATAAATAAATTAATCTGAGTAAGAAGCCCACATTTTTTCAGTTCTCTCTTCTTTTCTCTCTTTTTTCCTTGTTTTCCACTTCCCCCCTTCTTTTTCTTGTTGTCATTTCAAAGTCCTGCCTCCTCCTGCATGTTAGCATTAGATATCCTCCTGTATCTTTGTTCATTATGTCCACTGGTCCACATGTATGCAAGGTGCTGTAGCTTAGCTGCTCAAAGCGTCTGTTTAGCAAACAGGAGATCAAATCCCAGCAGTGCCTGAGTCCTTCATGTGACTTACTGTTCTTCACACGGTTAA